ATTATTAAAAATATAATATAAATATAATTAATTTAGTTAGTTCTTGTATCTTATATGTATTATTGTATCTTTAAATTTATTTATCTTTAATTTTATATTAAAAATAATAATTTTTAATAAATGTGTTATGCAATGTGTTGAACCGAGTATGTATTTAAATAACAAATTTTTTCTCTTCCCTTTCCTTCCTTCCAACACAAAGGCATCAAACATAAGCAACACCACATGGAGAACGCAGAGCATCATGCTCGTCTTGAAAGGCGAAACAAAATTATATCATCTCAGTACGAGGGGTGTATTCTAATCCATATAAAACTGTTAGCTTATGTACCTTACAATCATAAAATTTCCACTTAACAGTATACTAATTACCTCTAGTTCTGGCTATTGAGTACCACTCCTCAAAAGAGTAAGGTCCTTCGTCTTTGTATTCACTAATCCCTTTTTTTATTCATCAAAAATCAAATTTTATTATTTAGAGTATAAGAGATACTCTGTTCGACAAAAATACATTCTTACACAACTAAAGCAAAACCCACACATCATCTATGACCCAGAAATCAGAAGCAAATCACTACCCAAAATATAACTACACTCCTGCATCCACCAATCCATTGATAAGATCGGATCTGCACTAACTCCAGAACATCGATCTCTTGCTATTTGTCTGATTTCTATTGAACGCCATTATTTTTTACAATCCATATTCACCATAAAACTGCAAACCATACTGTTTGGGCAGCTTCACGAGATCTAATTGACCACAAGTTGACCAGCATAAGGATCTGCAAAACAGGTCCGAGGGTTGTCTCTCGGGATAGACACTCTGATACCCAAGTTAGTAATATTCTATACTTTGGGCTCTCTTTAGAGAGAAAAATATAATAGAAAGAGAAGAGCTGTCGAAAAAACTCCCTACCTTTGAGGGGTGTGGGAGTATTTATAGATCCTTTGGAAGTGTTTTACATGTGTTGTACTTCTATTGGTCTCGTTGGATCCATTTGAATATATTTGAACTCCATTGTGACTGATGGATGTGCTCCTTTGTATTTGGGCCTTATGGGCCTTTATTTCATGTATAGGTTAGTTAGATTACTATCCCAATACATACCACCGTCAAACAGACTTAGGATTTCACTGCCCCCGCATCTTATCTAAAAAGAGTACGCCTGTCCTAATTTTGTTTGTTGTTCAATCTCTAGTTTCTGAACCGTTCTAAAGAGTAAAGAAAGATAATTGAATTAGTGAGGAATATAATCAATTTATTATCTTGGATTATGTCCTTATGCGTATAGACCGTCCTCTACTTTGTTATTTTGGTCAATTTCATTTTTTTTTTTTTTTTACTTAATCATGGATTGAGTAGTGTTTGGTATCTGTTTTCTCATTTGAAAAAGTGTTATATAACCTGGATTACACAATTTTAATTATTGAATGGGGTTGACTCTTGATATTGAGAACTTGCTCTCCCAAACAATAATTCATATTTTATAATTCAACACAATTTGAACAATAAAATAGAGAATTCTTCCTTGTTTTCTATAAAAATTTTACGTCTTCTATTTACAAATTACACAAGGAATAAGCAGATTGCTGAATCAATTCTAGAATCCTCTCCCCCAGGCTTTTATATATCATCTTCCGAATTAAATTACTCATATCATCACCTGAGATATATGGAAAACAGTTTAAACCAAAGAACTTTTAATTACTCGCACTTGTGAAGAATTTCGGTCTTTCTATGAGCCTGAATTCCTTTGGCTATCTTTTTTTTTCCTTTATCAACAAATTCCTCGTTCCAGCCATCTAAGCATTGAGAAGAATATTGTTAATATTCCCAGCTAGCTCCCCACATGATTCCTTGCAAATTTTGAGATTCTAATTAGAAAACAATTATGACAATTGCATCGAGGAATATTGGATAATACAATACAGCCTAGTAGAGGGAGAGCAGATTCTGTAAATATACATAAACTGTCCAAATTGATATTTATTACTTTATCTTAATTATTATATTATTCTAAGTTCTAGCATCTAGCCTCTAAGAAACAAATACGTGAAACGCAAAATAATCTAGTCTCGAATATTTTCTCACAATAAGATACTAGTCTTGTTTGGCTGTGCATTAAGTGACTTAAAAAACAACTTAACCATAGAAAAGCAAATAAAGAAAAAAAGAAATCCAAATTAATGCTCCATGGCCAGAACCCACATAAATATCCAAAATAGAGCGTACACGTCAAGGCATAATTTTTAATTCTAAGCGCTTCTAGGTGGCTTCATTTTTTTTTCTTTTTTATCTGTTCCTGTTTCTCTTCACCATCTTGAAACTTGTGCAGGCAGGCACTCCTCAAATTGCTGATGATCAGGCATCAGAAAAGATCTTCCTGACATTAAGAGTACTCAAGCTCTGGACCACCTGATTCCAGTGGTTACGCCCATCTTCTCCGAGGCAGGGAAGATAATGGGCAGTATTACTCTGCGGTTTTGTCTGATTGAGTTCTCAATATGATCATTATTCCACAAGTACAAAGCCCTCTCTGCTAGCTACCTTGTGAGAGCAGGCAACAACTTGCTGGAAAAACGATTTGGGAAACCGTAGCATGTCTAAATATTTAGCGGAAGCAAAATAAGACTGTATGCAGAATTGCAGATCATATCATGTTACCACAGAATAAGAACTTATTTGGAACTTGAACAATACAGACTAACAGAAACTAGTTTCCAGTACGTGAAAGGCAATCAAAAAGCTTTAACACATAATTTCAAGTACCGGTTGCTTCATCTTCCCACTCTAAATAAATTAATCCACAGTGATCGATGTCCAATAATTCCTTGGAATGACACACTACCAAAAAAAAAAAAAAAAGGTCATTTATGAGTGAGGATGGATGAGAAAAAAGTCAGGATGTGAGTACATCTAGGCATTAATAATATGATCAAGACGTTCAACAACACTAGTAGCATATAGTGTTAGATTTATCTAGGAACATCTTCTCTATATAAACCCTCAGTCCGTTAGTGCTTAGCCCAACCCCTTCCATTTCCCCTTCGCCATCTTCGTTTGTCTTTAATTGATCAGGGTTGTTGATATTAATTTAGAGATTTCAAGGAGGTCAAATATGAAGATTGATGTCCAAGTAATCTCCAACCAAAACATTAGGCCATCTTCTCCGACTCAGCTCCACCTCCGCCGCTACCAACTCTCCTTTCTTGATCAAATCATGCCCCCTTGTTTCATGCCTTGGGTTATGTTCTTTCCCAAAGAGAACCTCACCAACAGTTTAGAACCGAGTGAGAAGTTAAAGAAATCTTTGTCCGATGCTTTAACTATTTTTTACCCGTTAGCAGGACGCATCAAGGACAATGCTTACGTTGACTGCAACGACGAAGGGGTCTACTTTGTCGAAGCCAAGGCCAATCGCAACCTGTCTGACATTCTTGAATGTCGAGATCCCGGTGATAATCATAACTTCATTCCTCTTGAGCTCCATGGTGGTGATGAGTTACCCCTCATGGTCCAACTCACCTATTTGGAGTGTGGCGGCCTGGTGGTCTCTGTCGGTATGTCACATAAGGTTGGCGATGCCATGTCGCTCTTCATATTCCTCAACTCCTGGGCCGCCACGGCGCGCGGGAACACTGAGATAATAAGTACTCCTCTTTTTGATTCGGCCGAGCTGTTTCCACCGAAGGATATCTCCGGGTTTCAGCCAAGGACTGGAATTGTTAAGGAAAATATTGTTACTAAAAGGTTTGTGTTTGACGCATCTTCAGTAGCGATACTGCGAGAGAAATATACTTGTGATGGGAAGCGTCCGACTCGAGTGGAGGCTTTATCTTCCTTCATATGGAACCGGTTCATGGCCGCCACACAACCAAAAACTGATGAGGGAAAGCTGTACACTGTGCTTCATGCAGTCAACTTGCGACCGCGAATGAGCCCTTCACTTCCAAACCACTACTTCGGAAACCTTACGCGGGTGGCAATCACAGAGCCGCAAAGAATTGGAGAAGATGGATTTTATGACATTGTTCACAAGATGAGCGAGGCAGTAAGGAAAGTGGATGAGGAGTTTGTAAAGAAGCTCCAGGAAACGACCGAACACCTAAATTTCATCAAAAAGAGAGGTGAAAGTGTGATGAAAGGGGAGGTGGTAAGTTTTAGCTTCACCAGTTTGTGTAGGTTTCCTGTATATGATACTGATTTTGGATGGGGAGAGCCTGTGTGGGCTGGGGGAGCCCGTTTGCCTTTTAAGAATTTGGTTAATTTCCTTGACACTAAAAGTGGGGATGGGATAGAGGCATGGATCAACTTGACGGGGGAAGACATGGTCAAGTTTGAAGCAGACAGAGAGCTTCTATCATATGTTTCTTCGTCCCCAAATGTCAAAGTTTCTGGTGTTAATTAATTACTGTGACATATATTTTATTTGTGAGTTTTTATCTTTCTTCGTCCCCAAATGTCGAAGTTTCAGGTTTCAAATTAAGTTGTAATAAATTAAAGTATCTCTTGTATTATATATAATAAAATTTTATATTTAGAGCCAAACATTTTTATTAACTAAAGTTTTAGTTAATTAAATCACTTTAATTTAGAAAGTGAATATTGTATTTTTTTCATTTATATACATTCGGTTCAATATATTTTTTGATACATTTTAGTTTAATCATTAAAATATAATATAAATATAATCAATTTTGTTAATTTTTATATTCTGTATACATAATTATATCTTTAAATTTATTTATTTTTAATATTAGATAAATAATAATAATTTTTTAATAAATATATTATATAATATGTTAAACACGTATTAGGTACTATCACTTATATAATCAGTTTATTCCAGAGCTTTTTATGCAATACTCAGTTAAATCTGGGTATGCATTTTATCAGCACAGCAAGGAGATGGAATGGAGGAAACTCATAAAAGGGTCTGGAATAAACTGATCCCTGATCCCCGCAAAGGTTAGTGCATTTGTGTGGTAAGCGTTACAAGAGAGGCTCCCTTCAAGACTCATGAATCTTTTTAAAAGAGGTATCATCACAGACTTCAACCATACAATGATACAAACTGCCGTCTATGTGTGCAACCGAGTGAAAACTCAGCACATTTGTTTTTACATTGCCCAATATACAGCATTTTATGTTTGGACTAAAAGCTTCAAGTGGTGGGGAGTTTCCACGGTCATGGCTGGATCTTGCATGGACTTTGTCGAGCAAAGTATTTGAGTCACAAGAAAAAAAGAGCATTTGTGACATAAATTTATCTTTTGTAATTAATATTTTTCAAGTAACTAATAGTTAATTTATTTGTGATGGTTTTGTCCGTCACAAATTTAAGTAGTTTATATTGTGACAAATTTTTAGTGACTAAATATTATTTTTGTGTCCAAGTTATATATTATAATATTAAAAATTAATATTAGTGATTATTATTTTTAATTAATCACAAATATAAAAAATACTAGTGACTAATTGGTAATTAGTCACCATTTTCAGTCACAGAAAACCCATTTTCTTGTAGTGTCTATTCAAAGTCAAGAATGTGAGAAATGGGTGGGACGTTGTCTGCTTCTCTACCATGTGGTCTTATGGAATGCTAGGAATGGAGGAATCTTCCAAAACAGGGGAGTGGATGAGTATAGAATTTTTTATTTGGTTCAAAGTAAGAGTCTCCATTGGATCAAAGGGAGATCAAGATGTTGCTTATTTAGTTATTCTGACTGGATGCTTGAACCAGTGGGTTGCCTTGAACGTGGCATGGCGTGTGGAGTAAAACATTGACATATTTTGGGTTGTTGTAAAAATTTAATATCGTGGTGATAGTTTTGGATAAACAATGTACTAAAATGATTAGTGTAGTGTGTAATGGGTTGGATGCTTCTCATACCTAGTTAGAATCATAAATAATAATTATTTTTTACGGTTTAAAAAAACGTTTGAGCTTATTTATCAATGGTTTCTGTTTTAAAATATTAAATTACATGTTCTCCCTTTCTTTCTTTCTTTTTTTGTTTTGAAACAATTATATGGGTACAGTGACGGAACACAACACAATTTCAAAATTGATCAGTTTGAAATTACCTAGAATCCCATATATACTTTATAACTCATGTACACGGGGTCGATGTAGGACAACTGCCCCACAATCGAGGGTGAGCCCCCACTCAAGGGAGTCCCTCTTTCATATTGTTTAGTTGTTTGGGGTGGGAAAAAATAAATTTTAATAAAAAAATCAATAAAGAAAATATAGATATTTCAGGATAAAAAAAGTAAGATTTTAAAATTATTTAAGTTAGTTAATAAACTATTTTAGTATTATCATAATAAGATGTTGCCCTTCTTATTTTAATAAAATAATTAACTTATTTAAAAATTATTAAAGATATGAGACAAAAATATATTTATTTTTTTATTTTGCTAAAATTCTAGGAAGAGATCAATTGAAAAAACAATCAAAACAAAAGTTTTTCTAAAAAAAATTAACTAGTATCATAAAATATGTTTAAGACTTAAATTATCAATAAAAATTTTGTTTCCCTTAGTTAATTTTCTGGCTTCACCCCTATGTACAGGTGACATTGGTATTAAAATTAATACAAATTCTTATTTTTAAATATAAATTAAAGGCTAAAAAGTTTTTAAAAAATCCATAATAATTATTATTGTTCCATTTTCTTCTTCTTGCGAGTAGTAGTCAGTGAAAATGACATTTTATTCTACATATGTATTAATTAAGGAAAATAATTGGTACACTTTTAATTTGATATTTTTTTTTATTTAGTTTAGTTATTAAAATATAATTAAATATAGTTAATTTAGTTAATTTCAGCATGTTATATGTATGATTGTGTTTTTAAATTTATTTATTTTTTAATTTTATAATAAAAATAATAATTTTTAATAAATATATTATATAATATATAAAATTAAGAAGTATATTTTTTATACTCTTATTAATAAATAATAGTTAATTTATTTTAAAAAAAAATAAAAAAATGTATCAATCAATATTTATTAATTAATTAAATTTGTAAATTGAAAAGAAAAGATATTTAGTGTTTAGTCTATTAATATGGACCATCATTTAGTCATTAGGCACTGATTGATTTCCCCTCGTATAAATGCAACCAAAATTAGTTGAATAATTAATGCAAAAAATGAGTGGACTAAATGAAAGCCTCGTGGGTGAATGATCACCACTGTATAAGTCTTAGGACGGAATAACTCTTCGCAAGCAAAAACAGAGACTTTCATACGTGGCAATGACCCCACTTTTTTTTTTTTTTTTTTTTTGAACAGCAAAACATCAATATTATTGAAAAGAGAGTACAAGGACACTCAACTCATGTGCACAATACAAAACGATAGGACAGTTTTCCTCCCCCCGCTTACATAATTACAACCTTGCTTGAAATAAGTCTGTAGAACCTTCTTCCTGGATACCACGCATTGCCTTGGATTTTGACACCACTCTGGAAAGAATATGACCATGTTTCCACCTTTTCGCTTAGCCATACAAAAGATCTAATTTGTACTAGTTCCAACATTCGATCCAAATCAGTGTGAGTATTATTAAATACTTTCTCATTTCTTGCATGCCATAGAGACCAACATAATGCAAAACCAGATCACCTCCCAGCATCTATTGCGAGTAAACACTCCATGATGTTGCAGAAAAGCAGCCTTGCAGTTGCCTTGCATAACATGTTTGACTCCCCACCAGGACAAGCACTTTCCCCATATTTTGAATGAATTAGCACATTGAAGTAATAGATGGTTTGTATCCTCAATAACTTCCCCACACAGTCCACATAGACTTCTATTAACATCACTAATAATGTTTCTTTTAATCAAGTTAGATCTGCAAGGTATTTTGTCTTGAAGAGCTAGCCATGTAAATGCACATACCTTGCTAGGTACCCAAGTATTCCAGCATTTCTGGAGGATAACACTATTGTTTGAGGTTTCCATCTATAGCAGGGAAGTATATGCAGAATGTGTAGAATAACAACCATTTTTATCATGCAGCCAGATCCACACCTCCTCTACATCTTTCTTTGGTTGTATTTGTGCCAACTGGTTTTGCAACATATCAACTTGTTCTTCCTCTCACTCGCGTAATGGCCTTCTCCAAGTAAGTCTGCAGGTCCAAGTGCTTTGGTTCCAACTACCCATCTCATAGACCAGTCCTTCTTTATTTGCAGAAATTGAATACAAATGTGGGAACAAAATTCTTAGTTCTACATCGCCCACCCACTTATCTTTCCAAAATCTCAAACTCCTTCCATTACCTAATTTAACTTTGAATCCTGTTTTAATCCAATCCACCACTGTAGGATATTTGCTATTTATGCTACAAATATCCTTCCACCATCTAGAACCTATCCTTCTACCCTCACACACTCATTGCATCCAATTCTTCTCTCTCCTCCCATATTTCTCCCTCAAAACCTTTCTCCACAACCCTGAATCATCTTTTGCTAATCATCCCCACCATTTCCCTAATAAGGCTAGGTTAAAAAATCTGAGATTTTTAATTCCAAGGCCTCCCTTTTTTTTTCCTCTACAAACTTTATCCCACCTAACCCACGCTATTTTTTTTTTCTCTTCACACCCACCCCTTAGGAAACCCCTACGGATTGCATCAATTTTGTTGATCACATTTATCGGCATCAAGAACATAGACATGGTGAACATAGGGAGGCTAGTAAGCATGGAATTAATCTGAACAATTCACCCCCAAGAGAGAGGTATCTATTTTTCCAACAAGCCAGTTTTTTCTTGAATTTCTCCACTAATTCATTCCAAGTACCAATTCTTCTCACAGCAGCTCCAAGAGGCATACCCAGATATTTCATTGGCAGCTCCCCAATTTTGCAGTTCAAGAATAATGCCATGCTTTGCACTTCCCTGTCAATCATATTTACCCCAACCCCCTAACTTTTGTTGTAACTTATTTTCAAACCAAACAAAAGTTCAAAGGTTCTTAATATACATTTAAGTACCTTAATGTTTGCTTCAAATGCCTCTCCAAACAGTATAGTATCATCAGCATATTGAAGATGAGAAATTTTTAAACTTCCCCTCCCAATTCGTCTCCCTTCAAACAAGTTTTTAGAAACTGCTGATTCAATTATGCTATTGATTCAACCCCTTTGCAACAATAAGAAATAGGAATGGTGAAAGGGGATCCCCCTGTTTTAGACCTTTACTCACGTTGAATTCCCTAGTTGCACTGCCATTTAGAAGAATCGAAATTGAGCTTGTTCTCGAGCATTCCTTGATCCAATTCCTCCACACTGCACCAAAGCCTGTTCGAATCAGCATATACTCTAAAAAATCCCAACAAACATTGTCATCCGCTTTCTCAAAATCAACCTTGAAGACAAAACTTCTTCTCCCCTTTTTCTTGATCTCATCAATGGTTTCATTTGTAATAACCACACTATCAATCAATAATCTTCCCTTCACGAATGCAGATTGGACTTCATTGATTAATTTATCCAACAATAGCCTCAATCTATTAGCTAGTATCTTTGAGATTAACTTATACATGCAACCGATTAAAGAAATTGGTCTATCCTCCTCGATCTTAACGGGGTTTTCTTTCTTGGGGATTAGCACAATAAAAGAAACATTCAAACCTTTCACCAATTTCCCTGTTCTATGAAACTTTACTGCAAAATTACATACATCTTCCTTCGTGGTTTCCCATATCTCCTGTAGGAACTTAAAATTAAAACCGTTCGGTCCTAGGGCCTTTGACTCATCACAACCCCACACTGTGTCTTTAACTTCTTCCATTGAGAAAGGAGCAATCAACATGTTGTTATCACTTTGTGAACACTTCCTAAAACTGACACCATCAAGCCTCGGTTGTGCACCTCCTTCTTCAGAGAATAGCTTTTCGAAATAAGCTGCAAGCCCTTCTTTCAATTCTTCTACATTCTGTATTTGTTTCCCATCAATTTCCAAATAGTTAATTTCATTTTTGCACCACGAGCTCCTAATACTTTGGTGAAAAAACTTGGTGTTAGCATCTCCCTCTTTGACCCACTTCTTTCTAGCCTTCTCTTTCAACATATCATTCTGGGTTTGCATCTTTTGCCTTAATTCTACCTCCAATGCTCTGTTAACATTCACTTCTACTTCGAAAAGGCTATCTATTCAGCTTTCATGACTAACCTGTTGATCTCCGCCTTGCACTCATCAATTTTAGAATCAATGTCTCCAAAGTGCTCTTTACTCCAGCATTTAAGAAAATGTTTGGTTAGTTTTAACTGTTCCTTAAGAATAAAACCCTTCTAGCCATGCACCTTTGTTTCCTTCCATACTTTTGTGACTTCACATCTTAATTTAGGATGTTTCAGCCATGCATTGAAAAAACGGAAAGGTTTTGGACCCCAATCCTTAATCTCATTCTTCAGTACAATCGGACAGTCATTCGAGAAGCTTTTTTTCAATCTGTATTGCTTCAAACCTTCCCAATTTAGTAAAAATTCACTAGAAACAAGAAACCTGTCTAATCTACTCATGGCAACTCCATTCAGTTGATACCAAGTGTATTTCCTCTCAATCA